TTGACTGGAATCGAACTTGGGACCCTTAAGTCTGCGGGCAGACACTCTATCCACTGAGCCAAACTGGCAAGGGTCAAGAAAGTCTTTTGCACCCAAATGTTCACTGCACCTCAGGGCCTAGAAAAGTGTCTGGTCCCTAGTTAGTGATCAAAAAGTGTTTGTATCATATATTCAAGGTTAGAGAGAAACAAGAAAAGCTGGAGGGTCTGGCTGGTGTGACTCAGTGGTTGAGCATGGACTCAGGAACCAAGAGGTCGCTGGTTTGATTCCCATCAGGGCACATGCCTGGTGGAGGGCGTGCAAGAGGCAGCCAGTCAATGACTTCCTCTCTCATCGATGTTTCTATCTCTCTATCCCTCTTCCTTATTCCCTAAAAATCAATAAAAATAAGAAGAAGAGCAGAAGGGAAGTTGACCCTTCCCAACAGTACCAGGTTTTGTGGGACAGGAGATGTCAGGCCATGAACCGGGACACCTGCCCCCACAAAGGGACTGGCAGGATAGGGCATGCTGGCCACTTCCCACCATCCCCTTAGCTGCTGGGATTCATGCCTTTTGTGTCCCGTATACTTACTTCTTCTTACCCCTCTTACCCCCTTGTGCCCCTTGTCTCTCTGCCTTGTCTATTGCGACCTTTAGGGCCCCTTTACATCCCTCTAAGCCTCAACACCTTCTCATGCCCCTTTATAACTTCATCCCCTTACACTCCACTGTGTTCCCAGCCAGGCTACTTACCGCCTTTGGCCCTTGCCACTGGGTCTCTGGGGCTGCAAAGCCACCAAGCCTGGAAGCAGCTTCTGGAGGTAGCAGCTCCTAGGCGACAGTGGCAGGTTTGCACCCAAGTGAAACTGGACTCCCCAAATCAAGGCCGTTACTGCCTGTCACTACTGAGCCAATAAGCAGAGACAAGGCTGAACCATTTAGGAGTGTTGATTTCAAATTGCCAGCAATACGGAATGAGCAGCAGGCTTCATGCCCTAGAAATTTAAAAAGCGCTCCCTCCTTTCTTCTGCCAGCTGGCTGATTATATAGGGGTGAGGGGAAAGAGCTCTGTGCGGCTGGGAGGGCAGCAGGGTCGAGGGAGCTTTAGGGTCTGCAGTCTGTGTGTGCCCTCAGGAGCTGGAAGTCCGATAACAAGGTGGCTACAGCTCAGCCCGTTCCTGGGACCAGAGAATGGTCAGCATTCCTGAGGCAAACTCCCGGAGGGGGCCAGGGTCCCGGCACAGCAGCCAAGTTAAAGCATGTCCTGTCCTCAGTTTGCTCTCAAAATGTATTTTCTTTTCTGAATAATGGACCCATCTGGGCTTCCTTAAGGCCACCTTATTTTTGCAGCCCTGTTTTTTCTTCTTGCAACACATCCTCCAGTTCCCCAGGGTCTGTCAGAAACCCTCTTGGCTTTGGTTAGTAGGTGAATAATCTTTAAACAACTGTGGTTCTATTCCGATTTAGTGCCCTTCCTCCCATCACAAGTACTTGCGCAGCCAGATCACTAGCCCCAGGAGCCAGGGAGAGAATCTTTCGTAGCCTCACAAGGGCAAGGCTACTTTACAAGCACAACGGAGCCAGACTGGGTGGGGACACCTGCCTAAAGGGATCCTGGTTCAAGGGATGGGCTGGGAATTGCCTGCCAGCATTGCCTGCCGTGTGGTCGGGTGGCTGGACGTGGAGAGGATAAATGACTTGGAGCCACACTGGTTTAATTTCACATCCGGTTTCTGCTGTTTACTTGTTCAGGTATCCTTGAATAGTAATTTCACCTCTTTGAGCCACAGGTTTCCTCATCTGTAAAATGGGAATGATAATATTTTCTTCCCAGCGCCGTGATGATAAAGTGAGATAGTAGGTGGTTCTAGGAACCCTGACGTTAACCAGATGAATTAAAGATGGAGAAAACAGCTTAACACAGCCTCCTTGCTCCCACACACATGGATGGAATAAAACAATATTAAGAAAAGAAAGGAGGTTACATATTTGGCTGCACAAATAGAAAAGTAGCGAAACCTACTGCCTACTTGTGTCTCCTAATCTCCTGTCCTGGTGCTGAGGAGAACTCACTGCCCACTAGGTAGCCCCCAACCCCATGGTGCACGGGAGCATTAATGGGGACTCCCGTGGCACCTGGCTGCACAAGAGGCACTTTCCCACATGCCCATCCTTCCCTCACCACCACCTCCCCAGCTCTCTCTTTCATACATCAATGTCTTGGAGAGCCTTGCTCCTCAAAGTGTGGCCAAGGACCAACAGCATCAGCATCTCCTGGGAGCCTCTTAGAAATGCAGAATCCCTCCCCAGACCTAGGGATCAGAACTTGCATTTTAACAGGACTCAGCCCCAGGAGAGTCATGTGCATATTAAAGGCTGAGAAGCCCTAGGTGGAGGTTTAGGGCACCTGCCCTTAAAATGCATGAGATTCACAACTTCCTGAGTTTGATGTTGCCACTGAAAATGTTAACTCAAGACGCAAGAATACATCCACATAACATTAGGAAATCAGTGTCATTCATCGTGGGAGGTTGTACTCTCGACCTCCACAATGTGACCTATATTAATTTTTCTTTTTTTTAACAAAATTATTTTTATCAAAATGATTTATAATAGTTTTAGAGGCAACTCACATTTAGGCTTCTAATAGAAGACGTTTTTATGCTTCTCCATTCCCAAGTCAACCACTTTAAATTCTGTTATTTTTCCTCGTATTGACCTCTATGCTTCTATTGCTATTTCTTGATTTTTCTATGGTTAGATGTTATCTGTGGGTTTCTTGTTATGGAATTAATCTCACTTTCCTCCCACCCTCCCACCCATACACATCCAAATACATAAACATACATTTCCCCTCCTTCCATTTTCCCAAAAGCCAAATCACTGGAGTCAATATGCAGAGCTTATGTTATGACTATGTAAATGTTATTGTTCAACCTTTTGTGTTCCGTGGAGTTATTAATTACTTTGTTTTATCATTTGCTTGGTTTTCTAGGTACCAATTGTAAATTCCATCCCAATGTTTCCAACAGAACTGAACATTTATTTTGAATATGTCCAAAACCAGATAATTTCATTTTCTTCTGCAAACATCCCTCTTTGAACATCTATCTTTTGATTCCAGACTGGGTTCTTTCTTTCTTCCTTTTTAAATAGTTTATTGATTTTTAGAGAGAGAGGAAGGGAGAAGAAAGAAAAATTGATGTGAGAGTGCAATATGGATCAGCTGCCTCCTGCACGCCCCCTACCTGGGACCCAGCCCACAACTGAGTCATGTGCTATCAGCTATCCTGAGGATTGAGCCCACAACTCGGGCATGTTCCTTTGACCAGAATCAAGTGGTCAACACATGGGATGAAGCCCAGCCAATTGAGCCACATCGGCCAGGGTGCTTCCTTTCTCTACCTGGGAGCACAGCTGACATACCAGGCCTTGCTCATCATTCTTCTTCTGTGTTTAGCCTCATTTATTTATTTTTATTTTTTTGTTAATCCTCACCTAAGGATATTTTTTCCATTGTTTTTTTTTGTTTGTTTGTTTGTTTTAGAGAGAGAGTGGAAAGGAGGGAGGTGGGGAGGGGGTAAAAGAGAGAGAGAGAGAAAGAAACATTGATGTGAGAGAGACACATAGATTGATTGCCTCCCGCACATGCCCTGACCTGTTCAGGGATGAACTTGCCACCCAGGTACATGCCCTTGACTGGGAATGGAACCCGAGACCCTTGGTATGCAGGCCAATGCTCTAACCACTTAGCAGCGCCAGCCAGGGTTTAGCCTCATTTCTTAAAATTCCATACTATCCTCTTTCTAGTTTAATTCCTGTTTTTCTGAAGTACACACTCTAGTAACTTTCTAAGAAAAAGTGTATGCAAAATCAAATTGCCGAGACCTTGTATGGCTTTAAATGTCTTTATTCTGCTTTCACACTTGAAATCATATGAACAGATATATGTTTCTAGGTTGAAAATCATTTTCCCTTGAAATTTTGTGGATATTGCTTTATTGCCCTGGGAAGAGCCATACCAAAGGCAATCACCAAATGGTCCCGAGGGCTGGTGGCATTGGCTCCATGGATTGTTGAGCTCATCGCCATCAAAGATGTCAAGGCCACCACCCTTGAGTCTTTGGACAGTGCCCGCTGGAGGCAAATATGCAGCCTGATTCTCTGTCTCCTCCTCTCCTAGGGGCTGTATGGCCACTGTTCCCCTTACCCTGCTCCCTTCAGTTTTCCTTCAAAGTATACTATGTGGACAAAATTAAGTTATCTCAATTACAACCTATTTCCATTCTTGCCTCTCGGGTCACTAAACTAGGATGTGTTGGAACCATCAGGCAATTACACATCATCAATGGAAGTAGGTTTCTTTCCTAAGTGACCAATCCCTTTATTACGTGTCCATTTTCCTTAATTGCATTCTCAGAGAGTGACTCTAACGTCCAGTTTGGGTGTTACTATGTTGTAGCCCTCTATGCCATTTCTGGAATCCCAGTATCCCGAACACCTACACACCATAGCACTTACATGCTTAACAGCTGCCTCTTGTCCCACTCCCATGTCGCAAGGAGAGCCCAGCCTTGGAAAGCCTCTGGTTCCTTCCTGACAGAGTCTCTGCCTTCCAGGGCTGCAGTCCTGAAAAATCCCCCACAAGACCCACAGGCATCACCCTGCTCTCAGGGCAGAGAGCAGTGGACGGGAAGATTGAATGACTTGTCCCTGGACACAGCTCCGAGCACCTGCAGGAGAAAGAAAGCAGCCCCTTCCCTTTGGTCAGCCACGCATGTAGTGATGGGGTTAGAGTGCCTTCTTGGCAGCTCAGATCCCCATGGGAGGGCCCTAGGGCAGAGAGATAGCAGAAGCACGAGGGCGAGGGCGAGTCCTAGTTCTCAGAAAGAACTGACCTCTGGCTGAGCCCCGCCTGAGCCACCAGCTGCTTGTGAGGCCAGAACCAGCAGCAGCCCCTCCCTACCACAGAGCCCCACCTGGCGAGAGGTCACAATGTCCCAGCTGCCCAGTCCCAGAATGGCAGACCGAAGTGGCAGGAGGTGAGGAGGATTGGTGGGTGGGTGAGTGGGTGGGTGGGGAGGGGGAGATTCCCAAGGAGCCCAATGCCCCACTCCCTGAGCTCATCCTTGCTTGTCTATCTGCCACCCCCTCCCACACACTTCCATCACTACCTCCAGGGCAGCCCCTTCCTAAACCTCCCCCTCCCTCCATGACCCAGCTCTGTTACCCAGGCCTGAAGTCCTTGCTTATCCTATCCCTGTCTCTCCCAGGGGCCTGGGTGCTGGGGAGGGATTGGGTAGTTCAATGGGTCCATGTGTGTTCTTCTGGGGCCCTAGCCCCGCCCAGCTCCTGGACAGTGTCCTAGGGCTGGGAGCACTGGGGTTGACAATTCGGGCAGTCTTTTCCATGGCTGGCCCAGCCTTGCTGCTGCTGCTGCTGCTGGTCAGCTTCCTGGCCTTCGACCTGCTCCACAGGTAAATGGGCAGCAGCCTGGCAGGTGGGCAGGTGCAGGCAAGCAAGCAAGTGGTCAGCCTCCCGAATCCCAGCTGCTACCCTCTCTCTCCACAGGCCCACAAGTCCCACCCGGCCACAGCACACGCTTCTCACAGGGGGCCAAAGCCAAGGGGCTGGTGAGGGCCCAAGACAGCAGGAGGCTCTACTCCTGCAGACAGTGGCCATCACAGGACGACTCAGCCTCCAGGAGGCTCTCCTCCTACTGCTCCTGGGCCTGGAGCTGCTCTTGGGAGCCCAAGGCATGCCCTTGGCCCTGCTTGGCCTGGCTTTCTGCCTCTATCCTTGGGCCTGACTGCCCTCCAGAAATACACTGGCCATGCTGCTTCCCCAGGCTTCCTTTCCTCCATTCTGGGCTGGGCAGGTGGGAGGGTACACCTTTGTCCCCAGCCTGACCATCAGCAGACCTCCAGCAATGATAGAAGGTGAGATGAGGTAAGGGACAGGGAGCCCAGGGCAGGATGTGACAGCCATCTCAGAACCTCCAGGTTGCGGCTGGCCATTCTGGCCGCCTCTGTGGTTCTAAAGAATGAAGGCCCAGAGAAAGACTTGGGAGAGAGCAGAGTGGGACTCATTATTAGCCAGTAGGGAAGGGACGGGGATCCAAGAGGGCTTTCCACAGGAAAGCATGAGGAAGTACATCTGTGGGCTCCCAGACCTCCCTGCTAGCCTAGAGGGTCCACAGAGAGAGGCCCAGGTGAGGCTCACGCCCTGGAATGGCTCCTTTCTTGGCTGGACCCCACCCCAATCCGGGTCACAATGGGGGTCCTCTAGGGAGGGGGTGGGGGAGGGAGAGTGAAAGAGGGGCTCAACTCTGGCTGCCAGGCCATCCTGGGCGCTGCAGGCAGCACCATGACTTAGGGACCACTGCCCAGAGGTAAGACCCAGACTCCAGCTCAAAGCCCCACCCCACCCACACTGGTGCCCCCCTGACCCCTGCACCCCCGGCACCTCCAGGGCTACTCCTGCAGCTGGCCTAGCCTCTCCCCAGGTGCACCAGCTGTGATGCAACAGCCTCCAGTGGAGACGGATGCCATCGGGGCCGGTGAGGGGCCGCAGCGGGCGCTGCCCTGGTCGGCCTGGGTCACGCGGCAGGATTGGGTGCGCTGGTGCCTGTGCCATGTGCCCCAGAGCTGGACCCACTGGTGGACCACATCGAGCTGGCGGCAGCCGCTGCAGCGTATGCTGTGGAACCTGGAGGGGATCCTCTACCTGCTGCTGGCCCTGATGCTGTGCCACGCGCTCTTCACCACCGGCTCCCACCTGCTGAGCTCCCTGTGGCCTGTGGCGGCCGCCGCGTGGCGCCATCTGCTGCCCGCCGTCCTGCTGCTGATGCTCAGTGCCCTCCCGGCCCTGCTCTTCACCGCCTCCTTCCTGCTGCTGTTCTCTACGCTGCTGAGTCTTGTGGGCCTCCTCACCTCCATGTCTCACCCAGGCTACGCTCAGGACCTGGACCAATAGAAGGGCAACCCATCCCGCTGCCTGTGTCTGTTAGCCCGGGCCTAAGGCCTGAGGCCCCGAGGGAGGGGAGGGCAGTGAGACTAGAGCCTTCCTGCTGCAACAGGCCCAGAGCCCCAGTCCCCAGCACAGGTTGTGGCATGGGTGATGTTGCTGGAGCTGGCAAGGTAGACTGGCCTGACCCTGGGCACCTCCCTCAAGCTGATGCTGCAGGTACTTGGTGTGGGGGACCAGGGGCTTTGAGGAGAGGGGATAGGGCAGAAGGCTTAGCGAGGGGCAGAGCTTGGCCAAGCCACCAAGAGCTCCCATGTGGGTGTGGTGACACCACTGGGGCGCCCTTACAAACTGGCAACATCTTTTTTCTTGCAGCTGCCTCAGCTTCAGACTCATTGAGAACTTCTACCTGGGTACCCCTGGACTTGCCATTCCTCCCACCAACCCTCTTTTTCCACTTCCCCAAGCTCTAGGAAGGGCCCACTGACAGAAGCCTCGCTAGATTAGGGCTGGCCACAAGCCCCATGAGACTTCAACTAACTCACCTCCCAGGCCTGCCTGCCCAGACATTCCCCCGCTCCCTAGATACCTGAGCTCCTGCCTCAGTCCACATCCCCAAGTCTGGGAAATGGGCTGAATTGGGTAGTAAGGTTCCCAGAGAGTACCCACTCCTTAAGTCTCCTGAGATCTGTTCTGGAAAAACAAACAAGTCCCATTTCACCCACCTACACATGGGGCCTTGGCCAATAAATTCTTTTGAGCTTGTGCTAAGTGCGTCAACAGCAATACCTATGTATGAAGTGCTTTGTAAAGTCCAGGAAACAATAAGATACTATATTGAACTCTTGAGAACATTCTGTAGACTCAAAAAGGTCTTTTGAGCCCTAAGGCCATAGAAAGAGCAAGACGCTTCCCTGGGCCTTTGGGGAAATGTTCCGCCATGAGTAGAATTACAGTGGTAAACAGAGGATGGATGGGCATGGACAAGATGTAAATATGTCATGTGTCATGAAATCTCAAAATCTGCAGATGTCGAACTCTCCTGATTGTGAAATGCTTGGGCTGGGGCTTAGTGCCAGGAGATGCTTGCACAGCTATGTGAGTGGGAAAAGCATAGCCCATGGTTTCCAAAATGGACCCAGCTGCTCACAGCACCAGGCGGGTCGTGAAAGGT